GTGTCCACCACGCAGTCAAGCCAGCACTGGGAGTTGCTGCATGCAGGTCAGTGCCCCTCCCGCCATGGTGGTCCAGCAGAGGACGGCTGGCCGCCAAGGTCTGAGTGAGCAGTCAGAGGCTGGGGGTCAGCCACTGCCTGTGACTCGTGACCATGCTTCCTGTGTGGCTATGCAGTCTCATGAACTGCTTTGTGCTTTCTGCCTTCATGCCGTCACTCCAAGAGATCGCACAAGAGACTCCAGGACAAGCCTAGGTTTTTCAAACTAGGAGTTTACTGAAAACTCCTAGGGTTTTCAGTAAACAGAAACAACACAAAGATGGCCCTTCAGTGTACGTTCATCAGCAGTGCCGAGAGGCCCAACACGTTTGCAAGAATAGAAGTGCACACCTCTGGCTGTTCCCAGACGTCACCTGGACACAAGACACGGTGTCTCGCCCCTGACTTGTGCACACCTGGGCCCACACTGGGAGTCATGCATGAAGGACTGTGCAGAGCGCCCACCTGCTCCCAGCACCTGGCCTCTCTGAGGAGACTCCTTACCAGCAGCCTTGTACGTCAAGCCCACCACCTTGTTCTGTGAAGCTCGGCTCAGTGTCTCCCAACACGATTAATTGGAATAATGGCATAAAAGATGATAAAAATAAAAAATTCAAGTGTAAGTGTTAATGTGATAATTAAACTTACTAATTAAGAATATTTCAGCTGAGCATGGTGGCACACGCCTCTAATCCCAGTGTCTAGGGAGGCAGAGGCAGGAGGATCACAAGTTTGAGGCCAGCGTGGGTGACTTTGTGAGACCCTGTCTCAAAATAAAAAATAAATAGGGCTGGGGATGTAGCTCAGTGTCCCTGGGTTCCATCCCCAGGACCAAAAGTAATTAGGGAGGGGGCTGAGGGGCCTGGTGTCCTCATTGTTGGAGTCACCTGGGGGGCAGCTGGGAGCGCTGTCCCTCCCATGCTTGAAGCATCCTTGCCCAAGAGGACCTGATGGAGACAGTGGCCTCCAGGCAAGCACAGGATGGCCCTCCCACATGCTGAGCCACCTTGGGGTGGGAACTGCACTTGTGATGGGGTCGGCCAGTGCTGTCAGTGCAGGGACAGGCAGGGTGCTGTAGGCTTGCGGGCTGCAGCATCTCTCCTCCATTGCAGCATGAAGCCCTGCCCAGGGCTGGTAGATTGACAGCAGGCTGCGTTCCAGGAAGGCTTCATTGGCAAGAGGAGGTAGCGCCCCAGCTGGCCAACTCCCATCTAAAGGGATCCCCCACGGTAGCTGAGAGCTTGGAAAGCTTTCTAAGGGCTGCTTGGGCACGCGCTCACCTGGTCCTGCCACACCTGAGGATCTAGGTCTCTTGAGTATACTGCCCTGGCTATCAGCGAGTTAGTGGTAGAAGTAGTGCTCAGACCAGGCAGGACTGTTTCTTTGGCCGACCCCGGGAGGCTGCTGACCCTGGGAGCAGCCCCGTTCTCACTCAGATGGTCCAGGGAAGTTCAGCTTCTCTTCCCTTTTCCTGGGTGCTCTGTTATGGACGGTGCAAGGTAAGACCACCGGGTGCTGTTAGAAGGCCTTCCTCTTCTTTGGTGTCCAAAACCACGAGGTCACAACTGATTTTACAGATTTCCCTGCCTTTGGCAAGAGAGGACGAGGACTGATGCTACTGTGTGCCCGATGTGCCAGTGGCTAGGCTGGCACCACCCCACTGGACCTCTGGGCCTGGTTTTCAGGCAGGGAGCAGGCTCGGGGCATGTCCTGTTCTGTTCTTGGTGTGAGGTGGACCTCTGTGGCTCTGCTGGGCTCAAGCCTGTGCAGAACCGTGGAGCAAACAGGGTTGAAGTGACAGTTCTCGGGGAGGGAGGTGACTTGGAAGGGGCCACAGCAGACTTAGCGATCCCCTCGTGTGGTCTCCTGAAGCTGCACCTGCCTCCCTGTGCACTCCCTGAGCCAGGGACTTGCCACGGCTCCAGACAGGCGTCAGCATTTGGGGACAGCTGGAATTGTTAAAGAGCTTTGTCATTTTTAATGAGCTACTGAACCAAACTCTGCTCCCTGGATGTTCTCAGGTGACTGTTCTCTCTTGGCTTGGGGTGTACACAGCTCTGACTCGACTCTCCCTGGAGAGCAGCGTGAAACCCCAGCCCTCTTCAGCCAAACAGAACGGTACAGATGTTGCCCAAGACCCAAGCCCCCCCAGATCAGCACCCAAGACACATCCCCACGCAGCTCCAGCCCCACGGGTGTCCCGAGTCTTCAGTGTTGGGCTGCTTCAGGCTCCCCCCAGGTCTGACCGTCCTCGGGCCAGAACCCGTCGACCGAGGTCTCTGGGCCTCATGTTTCCGGGCTCCTGTTTTATTTACCTTCACGTCACTGTGACCCATGGCTGGGAGGAGGGAACCTTTATTTGGCCTTACAGTGTCAGAGGGTAAATCCAAGGTCTTCGGACTCCATAGCAGGGACCCAAGGCGAGGCGGAACAGGAGGGGAGACGGAAAGCAGAGAGAGCTCCGTGCACCAGGGACAAACACCAACCCGAGGCACCCCTCAGGGCCCACCTCCTCCACCACACCCTGCCTGATGCAGTCACCACCCGCTGATTCACATCAGTGGATTAATCCACTGATCAGGTTACCGTCATCTCTCCTCTGAACACTCTTGCCTGTGTCACACAGGAGCCCTTGGGGACACCTCGTATCCTAACCACAACAGGGAGGAAGGTGACTCAGGTCTTTCCAGGAGAATCTAGGCCAGGTCTCTTGAGTCCACTGCCCTGGCTATCAGCTGTTGTCACCAGCCTGCTCAGAGCTCACACAGGAGCCCCACACAGCCGAGTCCCCGCCCAGCAAGTCCGTGTCCAGCAGCCCTTAGTTCTCAGCGAGGGGGGTTAACCAGCCCAGCACAGGCCCGGGTGGGGGGCGTTTTGTAGGGAGCCTTTGGTGGCCTGCTAGCCACACTCCCCCACAGCAGATCTGCTCACCACGTAGCCCTGGCCTCCTGTGTTGGGGACTCAGCTGGACTGAGGTGGGAGGGCGGCTCACAAACACCTGCACCGTTTCTGAACCAGGTGTGACAGTGCAGGGGAGGCACAGTGCAGGGCACTGGGGGGGTCTGGAGGCCTTTGTAGGTCAGGGTGAGTGAGTGCCACCCAGATAGGGAGGCCGATTGTCCTCTGCCCACCACGTCCTCCAGTTCCACAAACTAGAGGGGCCGACCTTCCTCCCGGGGGCCAGCCTTCACTCCGGAGGCCAACCTTCACTCAGGGGGGCTGCAGGGCAGATCCTCATCAGGCTTCCCAGAGAGGCAGAGCCACTGGAGGGTGGGTGGCGCAGAGTCGTGATGTGAGGGGGCTGGTCACGCATCCTGACCCTACGAGGGCCAAGGCCGCGCCTTCAGTACACCCTGGGTGAATCCCCGGAGTCACTTCATGTTGGAGGACTTTTCCAGGCTCAGACCAGGTAGTGTCTGGGGAATGCATGAGCGGGCTGGCCAAGTGCGTGTCTGGCCCGCTGTGTGCGGAAAGCATTGTGAATCTGTGCTGGTCCCAACTGACGGTGGGTTGACGGGACTTGCCGCATCCCTAGTGGATGAACCACGGAGTGCAGGAGGAGTTTGAAGAACGGCTCGTGCAGTCACAGAGGCTGGTGTGACCGAGGTGCTCAGGGTGGGATGGCAGAAGAGCCGGCAGAGGGTCAGATCTGAAGGTGGCGCTCTGCTGCAGAGTGGCCTTGGGCTCCAGGGGCCTCAGGCTTGGCTCTGTTAGGGCCTCCATTATGCCGTGGCTGGAGGCTGAAACTTGATCCCCTCCCCCAGGGACCCGGGGTGGGCTCCGTCTGCGGTGGTGGGAGAGGTGACTAGGGTTAGGTCGATCACAGGTGGCCCCGACCCTGAGTCCTGGTGGCCTAAGAGAAGGGAGAGAGACAGCTGACCTCTGTGTCTCTGCTGTGAGATGCCCGCCTGCCTCAGGGCGTGCAGCGGAACCTTCCCCAGGTGCCACCCAGAGCCCCTCCAGGACAGGAGCAGAGCCAGGTGCTCTTCAGAGAGCCCCGTCTGGTGGCGGGTTATCACACAGAAAAGGCCCGAGGAGAGCAGCAGGTGCGGCCAGCCCCTCACAGCGGCTGATCTGGACCCAACGCCCACGGATGACCCAGTGTCCTGAGTGGCTCACTGTGAGAGCCCAGTCCAGGGCCTGCCAGCTGGGCCGGCTCCACTGGTCAACAGGCCCCTCTGTTCCATCGGGTTCTTCTTTTCTGCTTTGTTTCCCTCCTGGGCCTT